GTAAGTACTGGCAGTGAAGGCGGGTACGGGGGAGCGGTAGCAGCACAAAGCCCTTTGAAGGCTGTGTGGAATCATATGCATGGCTGGAGAGAGAGATGGAGCCAGGGGATTCGAAATGACACCGTTGAAGTTGTCCAGTAAATCTGCTCCAGGTCCATTCATAGCTATGGTGCCTTTATTAAGTGCATCAACACAGGATGCCTTTCAGGTGGCAGCTGGCAGCCTTTTCTGCCAGGACTTGCTATGAAGTCTGCTGCAGCCTGTTCTGAGCCCGAGTGGATACTCATCCCCTTCCTTTGTCCCCATGCCCGACCTCGTTCACTTTTGGCTAGCACTTAAATTGCCTGGGTGGCATTCAGGCCTAACCTTTGTCTTCATTCAGCTGGCTCTTCCTCCTCAGAGTCCTGAGCTTTATGCCCGCTGGGTCAGATGGCTGGGGCATCACAACTGTGTGCTCATCGGCAGTGTGCTGCCTGGGGCCATCCAGCGAGCTCATGTTGTCTGGAGCTTGCTCCTCTCTGCCCCATTGTTTTGCAGCCACTCAGCACCCTGAGTGATGACAGTAACCCCCCCTGCCAGCCGAGTAACTCCTTTTTGCCTGGTGATCTGTCAGCAGCGGAGTCCAGAGTAGCTGTGTGCAGCTTGAAGTGGAAATCTTTTGCATGGCTCTGGTGAGAGTGTTTCCCTTCTTCTACATCCAATCTACCCTCCCGGTCTTCCTCCTTCACCCTCCCTCTCTCCCTTTAAGTCCTTTCAAGAATGAAGACATCTACTTTGCTACAGTCTAAGGTGAAGGAGCAGAAAAACTAGTTTTGCAAACATATGTTAGAAATTATGGTAACAGGGAGCAGTCCTCCGTCTACCCTGACTCATAGATGATCCACTTCCATAAGGTAACACCGCCCCTTATGAAGGCCGTTGGTCAGCAGCACCACAGAGAATGTCCACAGGGTGCCCGCCCCGCAGGTGCTCATCCTAATCTAGCGTCCTGACAGCCTCCGCTTCTGGGTGAGGAGGTGCGGGACCCGAGCCGATCCCACCGCCTGGGCCTTCCTCTCCTTTGCTTTACCCCGATCCTTAGGTCAGAGGCAACTTTGTGCAGTTTACCAAGCCAGAAGATCAACAGTTCAGACTCTTTTCAATAGACTTGGGTCAAGTCTTCCTCACCTGTTTAACTGTGTCCATGGGCATCTTTGCTTTGACACCAGCCATCTATCCAGTGCTCAGCTAGACTTCTTGAGAATGGTGCCACACTGAGGGCTAATCAGGCCCCCTGATGTTAACCAGCCAGAGTCAACAGTAGCAGTAATTATGGCCCTGGTGTCAGCTCAGGCATGCTCTTGGGTCTGCTCCTGGGTCTGTGTATATTCCTGGATACACCTATGAATGTATGTTTGATTTTGTCATGATCACTTCAAAGTAAGTTCTGGACATCCGGACCCTTCCCACCAAGATATTCAGTTTTTTATTTACTAATAAAAGAATACTCTTTCCCATAATCAAATCATGGATGCCACTTTCAATAAATCTAACATTTACACAATATGGTTTTCGGATTATAATCTGATCTTGTTAGCTGACGCAACAATGCCATTAAAAATACTTTCTCACCCTCCAGGATTTAGACTTAGATCAGACATGGAAATCAGTTTCAGTCCATAGTGAGGTGGCTCCAAGGCAGGTAGCAGGGTGGAATGGCAGAGGAGGCTTAGTTCATGGTATGTCACCAGCAGCGGAGAGATCAAGGGAGGAGGAGGGAGACCGATCCTTCCAGGCCATGCCCTCAGTGACTCCCTCCTCCAACCGGGCTTCACTTCCCAGCATCACGTTTAGCTGGAAGCTCATCAGAGGAGAAACACAAGTGAGTGTCACAGCCCCTTGATCTGATCTCCCCGGAAAGCTCCACCTAAGAGTACACGGGGCTTTGGGGGAGGCACCTAGATACAAACCGTGACAGTGCATTTCCAGCTATTTTCCATTTTGACCACTTCTACTGTTTGAGATGCTTCACTTGAAAAAGTGAAAATAAGTTCACATGTTTACAAAGCTTGTGTCTCAAGTAAAGTAAGACATGTGATATCAACATTAGTGGATGCATGTTTGAATTTCTCATTGAAATGATAAAATTCATGCCTTCCAGGTTTCTCTTTGTCTTTCATTTAAATACACTGGGTTTCTTTCTGCTTTTGCTGCTTCCTGTGCTGGAGTGCAGATCCAGGAGCCATTCCAGGAGCACAGTGTCTCTCCCATGAGGGGCGAGGGTAATGCTTTTGTTCTCACAATATTGGTGGCTCAGGCTTTGAAAGCCTTTTTTAAAAAAGAGAGAACAGGTCAACAAGGTCACAGGGTACAGGTGATGGAGGGAAGCTGAAAGAAGAGAGGGAGTTGAGTAAGGGAGAAGGGGTTTAGAGGTGTCCTGATGCAGAGAGTGAGAAAATACATTTTTGCTGTGTGCATGATGTGTGTCTCCCAGGAAGTACATTTCTGGGTTATGGGTCCCTTAGGGCCTTGTCTTAGGTATTATTTCAGGACTGATTTGAAAGAATTTTCCCTCATTGAAAACTATGTCAAGGGCCAGCCTTGGTCATCCACTAATGGAAACAGTATTTTCAGTTTGCCAGAAAGTCAGGATTGCATGCTTCCACATGCAGATTCTCTCTCATACCTTTTCCATCTGCATAATTTCTATTTATTTTTCATGATTCATTGAAAAGAGCAACTCCTCCAAAAAGCCTTTCTGAGCTTTTCTTTCTTGAGATTTATCTGATGCCTTTCCTCTGTGTTTCACAGCACCCTGGTCATTTTTTCACCTTCTTATTTTCCTGAATTACATTTGTTTTATTTTGTTTGTTTTCTACTCAGAATTTTTGACATTCTAAATGTATCTTAACTTCTTTTCACATCTATTCTTAGTATTCAATGAATAAATACTATTTCATATTCATGGGTTTTTTATGCCTATTTCCCTGGCATGTAAATTCCCTTTACTCTTGTTTGCTGGGAAATTTCTTATTATTTTCTGTAACATTCTCTGTGTTTTCTGTGAAATCGTTCCTGACTGCTTCTCTTGCTGTAGCAAATTTAAATATTTAATCATTTATCTTAATGTTTTATGTTTTTCATATATAAAATAAAGGTATAATATAAAATGCATGTGCAGTAATTTATTTAACCCATCACTCACTGAAGGAACAGTGTCTTCAAATGAGAACCAGACCACAGGGCATTTCTGTGTCTGGAGCACAAATTCATGTGCAGTGTCGCAAGCAGGAGCCACTTACATTATGATAGCATGGAGTATCAGCATCACCTCCACTTTTCTATAGACTAAAGCCTGTCTCCACAGAGTGAGGAAACTGCTCTAGTAGATAGGGAAACACAATCCTGCAGATTCCAATGACCCTTAGCACTGCAAAAAAAGGACACGCGATAATCTTGTCTATATGAAATTTAGTCACATTTTCCTTACTTTATTATCATTTTTCCTTTCAAAATTATTTCTTATTTTCCCTTTTCCTCTTTTCCACACTGTGACCCTTAAGGGAAGGAAGTGGATTCAAATTCTTCTCTGGTCTAAGAAAAGAAAGATGCTCTCATTTCCCCCTTCATTTATTTGGGTGAAGCTGGTTTTGAACAGGCCATATGGTCAATTAGGAAGGAAGAGGTGTGGAATGACCCCAGGGCACAATAACCTATTACATTTTATGAAGTTCTGGAAGACAGGATGATGAAGGCTTCAGATATACAGAAATGACAAGAAGATGGGATGCTAAACATACAGTCAGCCCCTGTGCTGAGATCACGCAGGACCCCGGCAGCCCCTACAATTAATGCTAATACAACACAAAGTGTGAGTAGATTTTAGAATTTAACTTTAAGGAAGCATTGGAGAAATGGGATTGGAAGGATCATCTGATAATTAATTCTTGGACTCTGTCTTTCCAGTGTTTTTATTTAATCCCCAAATGCAGATAGTTTAAACTTATGTCCTTTAGCTTGGAAGAGAGTGGGGATTCTTCAAGAAGCTAGGACCGTGAAGGACAATAATTAGAGATGACTGCGGCCAAACAACCTTCACAGCATCCACCACCCCGAAGTTCTGCTGAGTTTGTGATGAGACCACTGTCAGCGCTCTAAGAGAGGGTGAGTAGCACGTGGAAGGCCACACAGGACTCACATGGCAGACAGGTTAAGTTCAGCACACCAGAGCCTGAGCTTGTAGCAACTCTGCATTCATCCTGGGAGAAGTGCAGAAAAGTTTTCCTAGGACTGGTTGTGATGTTTGCTATTGGAGGGTTTATTTACGTAGGAGTTTTAAACTCCCTCTCTAGGGCTGGGTCTCTGAACTGCTTTATTAGTCAAATAAGTAAAAATATGCAAATAATCCCCAAACATCAGCAAAAAGATGCTGAATTATAAACAGCTGTCCTCATATTTGGTGAGCTCTAGTATTATTTTTAGTAATAGGGATAAAGAAAGGAATAGGCAAAAACACTCGTAAATGTGGAAATTAGATTATTTAAATATCCTAACATTTCCTTTCGAATACATTTTTAAAGTTATTTGAACATATCTGTGGAGTTTAAAGCTCCCTTTTTTCAATAAGAATGTCATATAATTCTTACTCTGTTCTACTTAGTTATACAGTTCTACTTACTATCAACTCATCTAGCTCTCAAAACAGTAGAGCTGGTTCCCTAGGACACGTCTGTTCCTTAGAGACGTCCTTTGAGCATAGGCTGCTCTCAGTCCTCATTTCTGCCCCTCCCTGTTTATTAAGGGTCAGAAGCTGCTGTTTGCTTGGCTCAGCACCCAGTCCTTTGGCACTGGACTGTGGTGGTGGTTATGGCAATAGACAATCACAGTGCTGTCATACAAGGGAGAACACGTAATTACAACAGGAAGGGTATCCCGGCTAAAGTGGAGCACTTAGCAGTATCAACAGCATTGAGCACAGCCTAGAAACTGACAAACTGTGGTAATTATTAATTTGGTGCCTTTAAAATGTGGAACGCTTCACAAATTTGTGGTTCATCCTTGCACAGGGGCCATGCTAATCTCTGTATTATTCTGGTTCTAGTATCTGTGCTGCAGAAGTGAGCACAGCAATTACATTCTTATGTTAATTCAACTGGTCAGAAAATGGTAACTCTTTCTGAATAAGGAAAAATAGACATGAAATTGTATTCTGAAGGTATATTTGTATGTAAAATAATTCACCAGTTACTTATTGCTTTCAGGCTCGTAGAGGATCCTGGTCTACTGTGGTTGCTGTTTTTCATTTTGTCCTGCTGTTTTCAAACTAGTTTCAATCTGACACTAAAAGGATGAAAAATAAAACACCCATAGGAACTATGTAGTGTAATTCTATGTTGTGAGAAACATAATACAGTATTTAAATTACTGAAGATCTTAAAATGATGAAAATGTTCTCAGTTTGATCCTTGAAATCATCTTGAAAAAAAAACATGACTTAAACGGAAGACAAAATGTCCTTAAATATGTATCATAGACCAAAATTTCCACTCCCAAAAAGGTAGAGAACGCCACAATTTTAGAGTGACAGCTGCTTAAGAGAAAATGAAGCTTAACCTCTTTAACTTCAAAATAATAAAGGAGAAAATTTGGCTCAGGGAAAATAGATAGCTGTTGAAAAGCGGTGCATCTTATTGACCAACAGGATGCACTGGGATGAGAAATTAGAAGATTAAATACAGTGTCATAGAAAATTAATTGCATAGGAAAGTAATTTTATTATAATGCTAGTAAAAAACAGCCCAGTAATTCTGTTATGAAAATGATTGTTAAAATGTAGAAAATTGCCGTAATATGAACTGCAAATTATCCATGACTTTTGACTCTGTTCTTTATTTCTCAATTAATTTTACTACTTTGACAGGTTTAATCTGCCAGTGCAGTCACATTTTAGTCATCCACTCAAAGCAGGGCTCTGTAAGGGACCAGTTACTTAACCAAATCAATATTTATTTACTTTGTTAGCCAGTGTTTTTTTTTTTTTTTTTTTTTTTTTTTT